AAACATAAGCTACCATTTCAAGCCCATCGATCAATTGACTGTACATTCAAAAGTTTGTGAGAAATATCCCGAAAAATGCCTTTAAAATTCTAAAATACTATGTGTTATGGTACTTTCACTGTTTTCATTACAAATCCATCATTATCAATTCATGTTCATATTTTTAATAACTGAAAGAAAGAATTTTTTCATTTTGCTATCTTTTGACTCCAATTGTATATAGCCAATACTACCTTAACATTGTATGAGTTAGAGCCTTCATGATTATATATACAAGTACTCTAGTACAGTTTGGTCCGTGGTTGTCGTGATTGTAATCAGAAAACGTGCAATTTCTGAGTCGACTACTTGGAACTTTGACATTTAAAAGCAAACAAGCTCTTTATCCGCATAGTTAGCTTATCATGAGATTTTGAATGAAATTGATTCATAATATGCATGAAATGCGTACAGGAATTTTCTCATATCATTTGCGGAGCGAAGACGATGGGCCTACCGCCTTGTACCACGAATTTCGTAAGTTACTTTTCGAGCGATTTCTGACATGTGACTAATTTTCATTGGGGCTATGAAGAAAAGTAGTATATGCATTTAGGTCGAGATACGGGATATCCTATAAGCATGTGTTTTTCGGCTTTGGTTTCGCCTGAGCCCAAAATCTACACACGAATGCAGTAACCTACTTCTCAGTCTAAGAAAGTAATATATTACTAGCGAGCTAGCCAACGGCCGTGCCTTGCTGGATACACCGGTTCCCGTTCGATCACCGAAGTTAAGCAGCAACGAGCGCAATTAGTAATTGGATGGGTGACCGTTTGGGTACACCGCGTGTTGTTGGCATAGTCGTTACGAAAGGGCACCGAAAATAAAAAAAAAAATACAAAAAAGACCAAAGAGATTATGCTAAGCACCTACTGTAGAAACATAAAAACGATTATCCTTGGAAACCGCGGTAGTCCGATGCTTTGCAGGAACACCTACCTCACGGTACATATCAGAAACTGGTGGGTGTGGTGCGCTAAAAACTTTTCACGGTGTAGGCATACTGAAAAAATCACTAACAAACTATTACTAGCGAGGTTCCTGGTTCTACTCGAAATCTTGTACGATAGAATTATATTTCAGATTTATTTGTTTATTTATTGGTTGATGAATTGATTTATTTATCGAATTATTAATTGATTTATTTATGAATATATTAATTAACTTTTGGTTTACTGATTTATTCATTGCTTTTTTATTTATTAATTTATTTATTTATTGATACATTCGGTTTCTCTTTAATATAAAATAAGATAAGAGAAAAACTTGAACTGTTCTCAGTAGCTAACTCTCTAAACAAGAATAAGTCCTACCACCAAAATAAATATACTTGTACCATATACACGACCATGATTACTTTCTGTTTACTTCCTTTTGCTCGTCTCACTGGAGTTGCAGCATCCTCTAAACTTTCTTTATCTGAATTGTTCGGAGAATTGTCCTCCATGTTATCATTATTCAGAGGTGAGAACTGGGTTACATCCATGTTATACTCATTAATATTTTTTGAAGGGTTGTTAATGTCCTTGGGAAAGTTACGTACATTTTTTAGGAGTAGAAGATTGAAACATCTGAGTCAATTCCTTCTTGAAAAAAAAAATTAATATGCTCACATTAATGTCTCATAAATAAAGCAAGTAAAAAAGAATAACACATCCAGCTAGATCAACAAGCAGAATTTATCTTTCTGACTCATTTTTCTGGAGAGATTCAACATTTATCTTTAATTGATGAACACTTAATACTGCCCCATTGTCCCATAATATATCGACTTCTGAATCTACAATTGCAAACTCGACGTGTAATCGGAGCATACATGTGTATAGGTTGTATTTGAAAAACGCATAACTAACAACTGGACAGCGTACATACATTGTTACTGGGCTACGTTTAATCTAGGAAAATTAACTTCAAATTAAACTTTAATTTAATTTTTTACCATGACGTATTACGGTGTTCGATTCCACGCCATCACTGTCGTATCTATCGATTGAAAATGAGAGAAACAATAGAAAAAAAGAAAAATAAAGGTACTCAGTTGATCGACTGTATATGTGACACGGTGCATTTCGAATGTGTAGTAGAGGCGGAACGTTATAAGGTAGCATCTTGCTGATACGAGGTGTCCGGAGGAAAGATTGGAAACACTAATGCAGGTTGTCCAGTAGTGAGCGAACACAATAGCAGTTAAACTCGCAATTCCCATACGTATTATACATAAATGATTGGCGATAATGTTTCCGCGGAAACCCAGTGAGTTTTACGGATTCTCATTGCTACAAACGTGTCGTTTTAAATTTGTGCAGAGGTATACGCTACATACGAGGGTGGTTTGATAAGCCCGTAACTTTTAAATGAAAAAAACAGTTTTTTTAATATTCCAATATACTAGCAATAAATTTAACTATATTTAGAAAGACATGCCAAATTTGAAGGTAATCGGTTGATTAATAAATTTTTTATTCTTCTAAATATAGCTGAATTTATTACTAGTACATTTGAATATTCAAAAAAAACTATTTTTCTTATTTAAAAGTCACGGAGTTATCAAACGCCCTTCGTTCAGCGGTCTAGAAAAAGAATGATTAATTATTTCTGTTGCTCTAGCTGGATGAGTTTCTGTACAACACATAGTGATAGCACATATACGAGGTCTGTCCGGAAAGTATCGGGCCTACCTGTATATTTTCGTGCTAGCGTTATCCTTTATCATCTTGTGGGTGGCATCATTCAAAGTAATCCCCACTTGATTGAATAACACGGTTCCATCGATGGTTCCACTTTTCAAAATAGTCCTGGAATTCACTTTTAGGGATAGCCTTAAGTACACTCGTCGCATTGTTTTCAACCTTTGTTTTGTCATCGAATCGGTGTCCTTTAAGTGGTTCTTTTAGTTTTGGAAATAGCCAAAAGTCACAAGGGGCTATGTCGGAACTGTATGGAGGTTGTCGAAGCAATGCGATATTGTGTTTGCTCAAAAACTGCTGCACAAGATTGGATGAATGCGCTGGCGCATTATCGTGATGGACAAGCCAGTCACCACTTTCCCAAAAGTACGGCCGTTTTCTTCTTACTGCATCACGCAAACGTTTCAAAATTTGAACGTAGTATTCTTTATTGATTGTCTGACCTGTTGGTGCATATTCGTGATGTACAACACCTTCACAATCGAAAAAAATAATCAACATTGACTTAACATTGCTCCCACTTTGACGTGCTTTTTTGGTCTTGGCGATTCAGAATGCTTCCACTGTGAAAATTGTTGTTTTGTTTCAGGATCATAACTATAAACCCATGATTCATCACCTGTACTAACTTTTCTAAGCACATTATCATCATTATTGACCATTTCCAGATTGTCCAGAGCGATTTCTAAGCGAATTTTTTTCTGCTCTGCTGTGAGCAATTTTGGGATAAATTTCGCACACACGCGTTTCATTCCTAAATCTTCGGTTAAAATTTCTGAAATGATAGTTTTTGGTATTCCAAGGTCTTCTTCTAGTTCTCGCACAGTCATACGACGATCTTTTTCGATTGCAAGTCGCACCCGCTCAATATTATCTGCGGTTTTTGTCGTCGAAGGTCGACCGGAACGAGAATTACTATCGACAGAAGTGCGACCATCCTTGAACCGTTTATACCACTCTTTTATTCATATTTTACTCATACACTCGCTTCCGAAGGCCTTTTGCATCATTTCAATAGTTTCCGAACTCGTTTTTCCGAGTTGAAAGCAAAATTTGATGCAAATTCGTTGATCTTGTTTTTCAGTCATTTTTGACAATATCAAAATCCGACGAACGCGAAAAAGGCACTGTAAACAAAAACACGCTGCGTATGAACTATACGTCCGGCAGATGTCAGTAAGTAACCAATAGATTCGTGAGGCTTTACTGTTGACGTTTCTGGCCGGTAGATGTCGCTCGAACACTATGGCGCGAAGATATAAACGTAGGCCCGATACTTTCCGGACAGACCTCGTATAATCAATATAATTTAATAAAAATATATATTTAATGTTCACAAATATATATCATTCAGAACCATAAGCTTTATTAGAGGCTAAATCTGAATATAGGGAAAAGTGGGTCGTAACAGCCCTCGAGGCGAGATGAAAAAAAATTGGATCTTAATTTTTAACGATGAATAAATTTATAAATGGCTAAAGTCTCATTAAAGCTGCTGAAAATACCTTCAAAATCATGCCTTGTACAGTCAATTTACGGGTGTGCAGCTGGAGCTATTGCAATTTTTGTAACTGCAATGTCTATAGATTGCCAACTAGTAATTTCCCCTGAAAGTACGATATTGAATATACAGAAAGTGAAGAGGCATGTGGCTTGTATAAAGAAGAAAACACAGGAATTTGAAAATGTGCTTTTTGAAGGATTAAAGAGGTTTTGCCTTTATGGTTTGTCACAGTTTTTTGTGTACAATGTTAGTTACTGATAATCAGCTAAGAATATTTAGAAGACACGGCGTTCTGGAATAAATTTTAATAAAGAAAGACGTGCATATAAAATTAACTCACTAATATTATTTGTATTTATTTATAAAAACAGTTCCATTTCAACAGTAAATCGAGTAAAATACAGTTTTAGAAATATTTGGAAAAAAACTTTTTTCAGTAAAATATATTTGTTATGTAATTTGTAGCGGACGAAAGAGTTCTAATTACATCAATTTTGAGTTTCAGTGCGACATACATTTATTTTAACATGACAAATACCAAGCTATGATACGTACATATGACCAAATCTACGGCAAAGTGCACTTTTATAGGATTTGGACAAAGAAGACACGTTTTTTTAAATTTAAGCATACAAACCTTTTTCCCCATCTAATTTGAGCTACATAGTGACGGTAGATGCTCGTAAACGTGAAAAACTCGTACAAGACTTATTAGATAAATGTACCAAATTTTATAGTATTATAATATAGCAATTGAATATACTTACTTCTACTTTCCCGTCATTTTGCTCTTGTTCTCTAGTTCTAAAAAGCTTCAGCTCCTCCTGGTACGTGACTAATTGTATCTGTAAACGTTAATTTAGCAATTTGAAAGTCTCCAAACGCTCATTTAATAATTCATTTGCGATTTTCAATTTTATAATGTCATGCTTTGCTTGCAAAAGTGCTTTTTCAGCGTTCATCAATTTTGTAGTTAAAAGAGTATTATTCTTCTATAGCTCATCTTCAGACACTCTTGATTGAATATCTGGCGTTAAAGTGGTTGGACTAGTATGTGCAGAATGTACAATATACACTTGTGCATTGACAGATAATGTATCAGCTTCTAACAATTTTCTTTGCTTCAAAAGTAGTTCTAGTTGAGCATGAAGATCAGTTTTCTGGAATCATATTTATTCATAAAATTTTGCATATATTTTTCCGAGTTTCTATCATCATTGGTAATGTATTGGTTCCCTGCATTAATTTTTTCGATTTCACACCAGGTTGCGCAACATATGTTTCTGTAAACATTTTGATACTAAGACTATAATGTATTGAAGTATGATCTACTATAACCTATAAAACTTAGTACGTATCAGTGATATTGCATGTAAACAATCGGAGTTTTTATTTCATTGAAAATGTTGAAATTCGTACTTGATAAACAGCATTTGCGGGAAGCTTTAATTTTATTATTTCATCTCAATAATGCTGCTGTCGAAAGTCATCGCTTACTTGTAGAAGCTTATGGAGACCCTGCTCCTTCTGAAAAGTCCTGTGAAAATTGGTTCAAGCGTTTCAAAAGTGGTTATTTCGATGTGAAAGACAAAAAACATCCAGGGCAACCAAACAAGTTTGAAGATGTAGAATTGAAAGAATTACTTGATGAAAATCCATGTCAAATACTTGAAGAATTGTCAAAAGCATTGCATGCTGATGCAACAACTCTTGAAAGACGCGTACACAAACTTGGTTTAATTCAGAAAGAAGGAAATTGGGTACCGCATGAATTAACTGAAAGACAACAAGAAAAACATTTAACCACGTGTGAAATGTTGCTTGAAAGGCATAAGAAAAAGCCCATTTTGTATCGGATTATTACTAGTGATGAAAAATGGATACGCTATGACAATCCTAAGCGAAAAAAAAACAATAGTTAAGCCAGGTGAATCATCCACATCATTGTCAAAACGAGATATTCACGGAAAGAAGCTTATGCTGTGTATCTGGTGGGATCAGAAAGGTGTGGTGTATTATGAACTGCTGAAACCGAATGAAACTATTACTGCTGAACGTTATCGACAACAATTGATAAATTTAAGCGAAGCATTACGAGAAAAACGTCCAGAGTGGGCTGAACGATACACGAACTTAATTTTGCTTCATGACAACGCTAGACCTCATACTGTAAACAACGTGAATGAAACGTTACAGTTGCTTGGCTGGAAAATTTTATCTTACCTGTCTTATTCTCCAGACATTGCCCCTTCTGACTAACATTTGTTTTAATCAATGGAACGTGGGCTTTTGGAACAGCACTTCAAAAACTATGAAGAGGCAAAAAGTTGGGTGGAATCGAGAATTGCGTCTAAAGATGTTGATTTCTTCATACGTGGAATCCATTCATTGCCCGAAAGATAGGCAAAGGTTACAGTTGCAGATGGCAAATACTTTGATTAAGATACAATGTACTATTAGTTTTGAATTAAGTTGTTTTTATGAACGAAAAAAAATCGAAAAAATTAATTCAGGAACTCAATAGGCTACTTTTCTATAACAATATCGAGTTTGATGTTAATGCTATGAAATTTATAAAATGTTTTTATTTTATAAAATTTATAAAATGGATTTTATATGGAATTCAAAGATAAATTTCTAGAAAGAATCCAGGTGGATTTTGTGCATTTCATAACACCAAAATGTTATTCTTATTAAACACAATATTAAAAAAAAAACCTCATAAAGCAATGATTTATACACCTAGACTCCACACTTTCATTCTGTTAGGAAATCTACATGAAATTTAAATGGAATACGAGGTGTGTTTAAAAAGTACCCGGAATTATCGTTTTTCCAAAAAAATATTTATTTATTCGTTTACGTCAATGTGGTCCCCTTCAAAGTAATCCCCCCGGATATAATACACTTATGCCAGCGTTTTTTCCACTCTTGATATTCACTTTTTGGTATGTCCTTGAGCACTCTCAGCGATTCGGCCTTTATTTCTTCAATCGAGCAAAAACACCGTCCTTTCATGGGTCTCTTCAACTTTGGGAACAGGAAAAAGTCACACGGAGCCATATCTGGTGAATATGGAGGTTGAGGCACGACTACGGTATTATTTTTGGCCAAAAAATTACGAACAAGCAACGACGAGTGAGCAGATGTGTTATCGTGATGCAAAAGCCATGAATTGTTTTTCCATAAATCGGGTCGTTTTTTTGGATTGCTTCACGCAAACGTCGCATAACTTCAAGATAATACTCCTTATTAACCGTACGACCTTGTGATAAGAACTCATGATGCACCACGCCCCTGCAGTCAAAGAAAACTGTAAGCAAAACCTTCACATTTGATCGAACTTGACGTGCTTTTTTCGCTCTTGGTGACGTTAAATGCTTCCAGGTGGACGATTGTGCTTTGGTTTCGACATCATAACCGTACACGCATGTTTCATCACCAGTTATGACCCTTTCAAGCAAACTTGGATCGTCGTTGACGTCGTTTAACAGCTCCTGAGTGATGTTCATGCGATTGTTTTTTTGGTCAAAGTTCAGCAGTTTTGGAATGAATTTTGCTGCCACCCGTTTCATGCCCAAAACATTTGAAAAAATGTTATGACATGAGCCAATTGATATGCCAACTTCATCAGCAACTTCTCTAATTGTGATTCGGCGATCATTCAGAACCGTTTTTTCCACTTTTTTCACATTTTCATCGATTGTTGACGTGGTGGGTCGACCGGAGCGTTCGTCATCTTCAACGTCTTCGCGGCCATCTTGGAAACGCTTACACCACTCGTAAACACTTATTTTTTTCATATCAGACTCACCATAGGCTTTTTGCAACATTTCACATACTTTGTTACACTTTATTTCATTTTTTACGCAAAATTTAATACAAATTCTTTGATCCATTTCTTTTAAAAAACGAAAATCGCCTAGCTCATAAAAACACGTCAAACCTTAGCAACTACCGCAGACAAAGTAAAGGGTGAATATAGCTGAAAATTTTATCATACTTCAGGAGCATGTATACCAACACAATAAAAAAAAATTTTGACAATCGGACTCTCCAGACCCGCGAAATTTAAAAATTCCGGGTATTTTTTAAACACACCTCGTATGTTCAGGGCGGTAGTGTGACTTGTTACATGCGTAAAAGCATGAGTTTCAGTGTGATTAACCCTTTGAAGCATACATTTTTCTCTCCAGGATATTCAGATGAAAATTTATATATAGGGGTTTTTGAGGTCGCTGATCATGAATCTGACATTAGATTGTTCGAATTTTATATCTAAGATGGCGGATTCAGAATGGCGGACATAGATTTTTTTCTATATTCGCTTGAAAACTTTAAAATTCATAACTAATGAGTTTTAGGGGTCCCTGATAACGAATCTGATATCAGGTTTCCTTAATGATGTATCCAAAATGGCGGACAGGCATTTATTTTCTATATTGGCCTGGATACTTCAAAATTCAATGTAAAGGCTTTTAGGGCTCGCTGATAACGAATCTGATATCAGATTTCTGAAATAATATATCCAAAATGGCGGATCCAAAAATTCGGATATCAAATTTCATTTTTAGGGACTTCATTTTCATGAAACGTAATTTCTAAGGGTTTTCGGTCGTGCTGATAACAAATCTGATAATATAATTTAGTATTCTGTTTCAAATATTCTAGTATTTTGTTTTCTGATTAGGTGAATGAATCTCTCAACAAAAAAAAAATATATATATATATATATGGCCCTCAGACCCATGGAGAGTACATTCAATACAAAGTGTTTGGTGCTCATACAAATCGCCGAAAGGCCCTCAACCCCCGACCTACGAAAAATAAATAAAGATCGGCTCTTTGCTTCTGGAGTCATCCATATATTTGTTGACACTCATTGACTAAAAGACCGGAGTGGATTCACTGTATTAGTTGAAGAGCAAATAGGCGTTTTGTATATTTGTGTACATAATATTCTTGTTTTGCGGGCATTTTTTCCCGCCAATTAGGAATCAATTTTTACGTAGTACTCTTCAATTTTCATATTTTCTATATCAACAAATTTAGAAGAGATTTATTTTGTAACCATGGGGAGAAGAAGGCGAATTGTGAATGAAATTCCTAGTGATTCAGAGTCTGTTGATGGGTTGTGCGATTCTAATGATGAAGATGAGGTATTGGATCGCAGAGTAGATCGTGTTGCCCCTTCAATCAACAATCTTCTCGAAGATGAGGCACACGAAGAAGAAATTGACGACGAAACAACCACTACAAATTCAAATAAAAGTGAAATTTGGAGATCGACGAGTATTCCAAAGACTGATTTACCTTTCAGTAGGAGTCACGGACCCATCATCCCTGATTCGGCGTCTTCTCCAAAGGATATATTTCTTTGTTTGTTCCCTGAATCTCTATTAGATGTTATTGTAGAGCAAACAAATTTGTTTATTTCTCAAAAGAAGTCAAAAGGAGATCTTATCACCAAAGATGAGTTGAAAATTTTCATAGCGATCAATATCCATATGGGTTACAAGAAGTTACCTTCGTATCGGGATTATTGGTCTAATAGCCCTCAATTCCATGATTCATATATTTCTTCACTGATGACTGTGAATCGCTTTGGATTTTTTTTGTCTCATTTGCATATCAATGATAATTCAAAAGAACCAGCAAAAGGAGATCCAGAATACGATAAATTGTATAAACTAAGACCTCTTCTCGACACTCTTTCTGAAACATTCAGAGAATGCTGGAAACCAAGCCATCACCAAGCTATTGATGAATCAATGATCAAGTTCAAGGGGAGGAGTAGCATGAAACAATATATGCCAGCCAAGCCAACTAAACGTGGTTACAAAGTTTGGACCCGAGCAGATGAATCGGGATTTGTTTGTCAATTTCAGATCTACACAAGTAAAACAGATAGTCCTGAAAAACAATTAGGAGCACGTGTGGTTCGTGATCTAACACGTGACCTTGTTGGTCATAATCACCAGGTGTATTTTGATAATTTTTTCACAGGAGTAGAGCTTCTAATATCTCTAAAACAGGATAACATCCTTGCATGTGGCACAGTACGATCTAATCGCGCGAATCTCCCCAAAAGTGATAAGTCTGATAAAAAAATGGTTATTGGAGAGTACGAATACAAGACCTCGACATCAGGACTCACATGGATAAAGTGGATGGATAAAAAACCAGTATACTTTTTATCCAATTTTCACGACCCTACCGAAGTAACTGTTGTGAATCGGAGGCAAAAAGATGGTACTCTAACTCCTGTCAACAGTCCTGTCTTGTGTTCAGACTATAACACACACATGGGATATGTCGACTATGCGGATCGTGCAATATCTACTTACCAGATTGATCGTAAGTCCAAAAAATGGTGGTTTAGAATTTTTTGGCACTTCATCGATCTCTGCATATGTAACGGATTCATTTTGTACAAGGAAAAACAAATCAAACCACTTTTATCATTGAAAAAATTCCGAATGAGATTGGTAGAACAATTGGTGGTACATAAGATCCCAACTCCAAAAGGTAGGAAAAGAACGGCACCAAATACTCCAAGCCATGCAAAAATCAAAGTACCTGATGAAAAGAGACTTTCTAATGCTGCTCACATGCCACAAGTCTCAGATACATATAAAAGATGTAACCACTGTTCTACAAGAGATAAGCCACAGAAGACGAGATGGATTTGTAGTACTTGTAATGTTCCTCTGTGTCTTTTACCGGAAAGAAATTGTTTTCAAAAACATCACATATAGACAGTAATGAGTTTTGTTGCTCTGGTTGTATGAAGAACATGTTTTTATGTCTAATTTCAAAGAATACTCAGTAACAATATTACAGTACAAATTTATTGATAATGCAAAGGGGATCCTCCTACAGGAAGAATGGAGGAAAAGAGGAAATAAAAACCCTGAAAATTAAACATAAAAAATGCAGAAAATAATATATAAAAAATAAAAAATAATATAAAATATAAAAAATAAAAAAAATATATAAAATATAAAAAATACAAAAAAAATATAAAATATGAAAAATACAAAAAAAAACGTAAATGGAGCTTGAACTCATCACGTCCTCGTCGTAAGCTCCGGGTAATGCCGAGAATGAGTGAAAGAAGTATCCACTATTCTGAGATATTATACTTTCAAGTCATGCAAATAAGCATGTACATCAATCATATCCTTTCGCCATCTTGGCTGCAGAATTTCAGAAAACTAGTATGATATTGATTATCACTGAGATTGAGGCACTTTAGATATGAGTTTGAGAGTATTCAGGCCAATATAAAAATATACATATCCGCCATTTTAAAAGCATTATTTCGGAAACCTGATATCAGAATCGTTATCTGCGACCCCTAAAACCCTTTAGATATGAATTTTATAGTATTGGTATCAATATAGGAAATCTTCTTGCCCGCCATTTTAGATCCGCCATCTTGGATACACAATTTTTAAATCTGATGTCAAATTATTATTCAGCGACCCCAAAAACCTTTGTATACCAAATTTGAAAGAGATACTCTCATTATTCGCGTCAATAATGAATTTCTCCCCAAAAATTCAATTTTTTTCTTCTTTGTTCATTTAAAAATATTAAAAAATAACCCAATATATTGATTTCAACTGCAAAATTATGTTTTTGAACTATTAATGAACTGAAAGAATGCAAAAGACCCTGTTGAAATCCATAATGTTGTTCTAAAATGGCAAAAGAAGCAATAAATCAATGTGTCCATCAGGATGGATACTGTGCTTCAAAGGGTTAAGTCGTCATCCATCAAGGTTCGAAATGAGACCGAGTACATGATTTTAGATGTAATTGTAGCTAATAAGAAAATTTTATTTTGCGTTGCCTACCGTAGACCTGAAGGTCGTGTCTTATCTGGCCTATTCAAGCGGATTCAAGAGCTTTCACATCGGTATATGGATGTGATCATCGTTTGGGATTTTAATTCAGATGTTTGTGATCGGAACGATAGCTATGGAGTCCATTTGAATAAACTTATCTCGGACTATTCTCTGTTCTTGGTTCCTTTCAATGCGACTCATTATACGGCCAGCTCAGATAAATTGATTGATATCATCCTAGTTAATTCACCTGATTGTGTAGCATTTACTAAACAATCACGTGCTCCATACATTAACGGGCATGACTATTTAATTTGTGATGTCGACCTTAGCATTTCCGTTGATAAATCGAAGAGCTATACTTTTCATTCATTCAAGCACTTTTCACCAGATCGTTTTGCTCGGACACTTGATGTTGCTTTGACGCCCCTGAATTCATCCCGACCAGATGATGTCGACCAATATTTGAGTTCATTTGAGGAAATACTCTCCTCCGGTCTTGACGAACATGCGCCCTTCGTGACACGAAAAATCAGGACAAATTCTGCTCCGTGGATGTCGGCGGATCTTAAAGATCTGCGCAAGCATAGAGATCGATTATATAAGCGTGCCAAGCGTTCGCGAAATCGGCTCCATTGGTTGGAGTATAAGGAGGTCCGTAGACGGCTTTGCAAAAGCATTGACTTTGCTCGAGATGAATATATCACAAAGCCCCTTGTTGGTGCGTGCAGTAAGTCGGAACTATGACTTCGCACTTCAGGGGTTCCACAGGGTTCTGCACCTGGCCCTATCATATTTCTGATATTTATAAATTCTCTTTTACTTGTCCTATTCCATTCTGTTGGTATGCTTTTTTTGCCGACGACCTCCAAATTTACATTCAGTGCAAACCTAATGAGGTAAACGATGGAATCTTGAAACTAAACCAGGATGGAAATCGCGTGGTAAATTGGTCAATCATGCGTGGAATTGATATCAATTATGCTAAGACGACGGCTATGCTATTCGGATCAGTCCAACAATTACGCTTTCTGGATTTGAGTGCACTATATCCAATCGTCATTGGAGATAACGTCATTCCGCTCGTGCCTACCATAAGGGACTTAGGGCTCATCATGTCTAATAGTCTTCAGTGGAACTCGCAGGTGGCCCAGGTTTTATCGCATGTGCACGGTGCACTGCATAAGTTGCGGAGAAGAGGTTCGATTTTGCCGTTAGCCCTTCGCAAGGAGTTAGTTGTTGCCCTTGTGTTGCCACACTTCGACTATGCGTGTCTGGTCTATTGCGATCTGCCTGATTATCTTAACATTAAGCTCCAGCGTCTGCTAAATGTTTGCGTTCGATTCGTTTTCAGACTTAAGAAAGACGCCTGTCTTAAGCCTTTTTACGACAAGTTAGGTTGGCTATCGATCCGAGCGAAAAGAAGGTACTTTATGGCCTCGGTACTCAAAAGCCGGAGTACTTGTATGCCTTATTCCCGCCGCCGAAAGGTGAAATTCGGCGCTCTGGGCGTCTTCAACAATCTAGCTTTGCTATCCCTCTGGCTCGTACTGCTGCATATGAAAGTTCATTTACAGTACAAGCCATGATCCTTTGGGACTCATTGCCCGCTTCTTTACGCCTCAGGGAGAACAGTGCAAATTTTAGGCTGGGATTGTTGGAGTACCTTAAATCATGTGATATTTGTTTCACGGAATAGATTTGTTTCACGGAATAGATTGTTAAGATAGTTGCTGGTTACAGTTGGCGCACAAGTTTGTCTTGGTCTGGCTTTAAATGTCTAGCGTTAACACAAGGGGTATACTTTGCTAATTTGTTATTTGCTGCTGAATTCTCAAACTGCCATGTCTGTCCCGTATTACTTACGTTTTGCTCCGCGTTGTTATTAATGTTACGCCTACTATCATTGTTGTAATTTCTGTCGGCAGCTCTTATTGTTATTACTGTTGTAAATAGTAGTCTGGTTCTACTACCGACTGATCGTTTTTGTTATGCGTTATTCATATTGTATTTTCATTTGTATGTATTACATTATGCAAATTGCCATAAGGCCAAAATGTGGCTATTGCATAAATAAATTCTCTATCAATCAATCAATCTCTCTCTCTCTCTCTTTTCATAATACGTGAAAAGATAACATTAAAATATTATCATTACATACAGCACACACCACACACCCACGCACACGCACACACACACACATGCGCTCCAAATGAACAACTTACTAAGAACAAACCCCCTAGTGTATTAAGGTTATTGACTTATAACCTATTTCTCCAATAACTCAAACCTTAATTGACACTGCAACCCTTAAAATAAGAGTGCCTAAGGTTCGCGGGGAATTGTTCCGAGTGGTTGATGAGGATTTAGATAATTGTTCCTCCCTATTAGATTACTGCACCATTGCAATAAATAGTAAAAATTGTTACTAACAATGAAAATGGGATAAATAAAATAATTATTTACAGACCTTATCCAATACTTTTTGAATCCAATATTTTTTGAACACACCTCGTATATCGAACGTTTTTTGTCAAACGTAACAAAGCTCTGTCCACAATTTATGTGGACCATTGTTGGTCGGTGAGGACTCAGAATTTTTAAGGTTCATTTTCTTTCGAATGCAGTCTGGCCTTTTGCGAAAATTACAAAACTTTAAAAAGGCGTCTGGCGAATAAAAAGACTTATCGTAAAATAACTTCATTTTTTTCTCAACAGGCAATGGCGCGCCATTGGTTATATTATAAAATCAACTTGAAAAACGGTACAAGTCAAAAACCATTAAAAAATTGGGCCCTGTTGCGGAACATGAGGTAGAAACTTTTGTTCTTTTAGTGACTTTTTTCCTCCGATCCATATAGTGCAAGATCAAAAAACATTATTTTGTCGGAAAAATGATAAAATAAATCAGTCTACCTGTAAAATTATTTCATTGCATTAATTAATTTGTATTTAGTTGTTTTCTTTTTTTCTTGAGAACAACATAATAGTACAAAATGTACAGAGATGTATTTTTAAAGCTAGCACTGATTTTCAAATATTCTCATCCGAGAGGCTAAAGTATCTTGCGCATGCGCGATGCACACTTTTAGGGCGCACGTGTCACTTTCACTTTTAGACAGAAACTGTGGTACTAAAGTACCTGCTTAAGACGTACAGTCATCACTCTATGAAGGCGTGCTGAAAAGATGCATTTTGAAATGACTTAAAGGGCCAGACGGAATTTGAAAGGAGATATCATAAGAAAAATTTGGAGTCGTCCCCGATTAGAATTCGATTAAAAACTGATTTAAATTGGTCCATATTATTTTTGGGCAAATCTTTGCTACGTTCGGGAAGAAGCAAAATAACCCATCATGGGTTTAATTTGCTGAAATATATAAAAAATAAAAAAATACGTTAGAGAAAGATCTTCTCGTGTATAAGTCCAGTCTATATTCCCCGATTAATATTTTACGAAGCATAGATTTTTAAATCGAGGGCCATAAAATAAGGTGACTCACATGTATAGGCTTATTATAATTACTACTTTTACTATTTGGATTCTTTTTAGGAGCGATCGAGTCAATTTGACCAGATTGTACTTGAGCAGTATCATCATCTCGGTCTTGCAAATTATAGAATTCTTCAGTTGCGGAGTCGTGCAGAACAGTGAAAATGCCTTTCTTTTTACGGAATTCGTTCAACTCATCTGCATTGTTCAATTCAAAAAATGAATAATTGTTCCAGAACGTATTCAAAGTTGGTGGAAGTTGATTTCTAAACTATATTTGTGATAATAATCGATGTTTGATTTTAGGAAATTTGATATAAGTACTATATATATATATATATATTGTGACGGTAAACTTCCGATTTGCGCTACCGTCTCGATCGCGTGGTTGCCTATGAGGGAGCACCTACCG